AAATAGTTGGTAATCCTTACATTTTGGATACGTTTTATCCACTAATCTTGCAAAATACGACGGAAGTCACTGCTTGCTAAATGATATGAAATCAATGAGCATAACCAGTTTGATGCTGACTTTTAACCCCGTGATTATGACTGATACAAATAACCAGACAACACTGTTTTAAACTTTAAATCATTAGAATGAAAGCATTTTGCACTAACGGTTATAATAAAAGCCAATAAAAGTTTAAGAAGTCTTAAAGTCAGACGTATGCATTTTTTCTCCATATACTCCTTGAAACAAGTACTTCTACATTCTTGGGCAATAATTGTAGCAATAAAATATCATTTTCATGCTCTTCAGAAGAAATTGGCACACACACATATATATAAACTTAATCCAACCTGCAATATATTTCCGCACTAAGCAACATAGACGGTCCATTCCGTCTAATAGAAATCCAATGGTTGGATCATTTGGGTCCTGTAACCAACCATAAAAGTCAGTCAACAATCATATTAACAGATTCAAACTATATACAGTGCAGAAAATAAATCTCATGTAGTAACAGGCTAGAAAAGATATTTACTATGTCCACTGGAACCACCCGAGAGGTTTTAGACCTTGATGATGCAATTCCAACGTGTTGGAAATACCAGATCACTTCACATTGAGCTAAAGCCAAGGCAGAAAACACCATCTGTGTGAAATATTAAATCATTAGAGAAAACACATCAAATAATTTTAAAAACAGGTGAAAACTACTAAACAAAAGAAACAGCAGGTTAGAGCATAGAGAGCTACCTACAAGTCTCCTAGCAGAGAATAGAGAATAGAGAGCGACCTACAAGTCTCCTAGCAGAGACATTGAGAACAGTGATCCATCCAATTCCATCACAAATCAGAAATATTGCCTTACTTATATGGATACAGAAGTGATTAACATTCACTGGTCAAAGCACTCAACTTTGAGGAAAAGATGTACTTAATTCTATCTTCGATTATGATATTCTTGTGCAAGGATCCTTGGTGAATTTCAAGAACTTTGACATTTTCGTTTCTTTGTTACCTTAAAATCAATAGCATCATTATACTACATAGTAGTATTATCAGAAAATTGCAAAAGAAAGCACAAATATTCTCAATCCAGCACATAAGCAGTGATGCAGTAAATCTAATATATTCAAACACAAGTTTTTAGTCTCTTATAATTGCACTTATATACAAATAAAAACAATATCAAGTTTGCTTCAATTTCAGATACATTTTTGCTTCATACTTAAAAAGTGAAAAAAAAAAAGAGAGAAAATACCTGAATGTTAGGGGCCAATAGACTGGGTTGGTCCGTGAAAAATAATACCATTCTCCCAATCTCTTGTTTCAGTAGTATTCTCCTTTCACGATGTATGGCATCACAAGATAATATCGCTTGATCATGCACTTCACTGAATAATAGTCACTTTTAGTCTTATAATATGCAACAGTAACAGTATTGTTACAAATTTATCAAAGATAAAAGAAAGATGATACATTGTTTGAAGAGAAAAAGCATATTAGAATTGAGAAAGAGGTGCACCAAAATAGACAAAATGAGAAGTCAAGTAAAAGAAACATGCAGGTAGTTAGTAGTCTCAGAGTATTCCAGCTTATCTGGCTGTTACGACTGCCTGATTGCCATTGTAACTTGCTTCCAACAACTCTCACCCTTAACTTTCTTTTTTGAGTTTTTTTCTTCCTTTTTATCTTTAGTTAATGTATTTAAACTAGTCATCTCTTATGTTTTAGGCCCCCCCCCCCCAAAAAAAGTCATCTCTATGCCGATTTTAAGGGATTCCAATGGCAACCTTGCTATCATGATCTCTATACATGTTTCCTCTCAACAAAATTTCTGTGAAAATAACATGGCCAACACCATAAAGAGACTAAAAGAAACCACTCACACCCAGCCCTGTAAAACAGCATGCCACAGCAAAGCATCTTACGCATCCACCATCACAATAAGAGTGCAATGCAGGAACTCCCTATCCTAAACGAAAAACTATAAGCACCAAGAAAATTCTTTGCACTTCCCAAGTCAAAAGATCTTTGCCCTTCCCAAGTCAAAGATTCTTTGCCCCACTGATGCCATTGACCCCCAATTTCAGCTAGGGGCATTTTAAATTTCATAGTTGAAAGATGACAATATTTAAACATGGACTTTGGAACATACCTTATCATTTTCTCCACCTGCTTTGCGACATTATATCCCAGATCTGCCTCCTTTTGTTTTGTGCGCCCAGATTTTGCCATCTTCTTAGATTCTAATATTCGAGGTAGAACATACAACTGGTAATCCTCATGCAGAAGTATGTACTGTGTGTGAACAATTACAGAACCATTAACCACAGCAGGTCAGTGACACCGTAGTGTAGACATTAGATAAAATTTACCTCATCCCTGAAGAGCGTGAGAACCAAATTTTCCTTCAGTACAACCTGGAATTCCATGATAATGAGCAAAACGGATTTAGGAAAGAAACTCAGCATATATGATAGTCAACATATCTAAAATATGAAGTCTTGTTTATTCCACTTTATCAGTAAAAGACTTATACAGATGAGTGTCATGAAAAATTGAAACAAAAGAACATATCATGCTGGGTATCTCTAGTTAGACATGAATTAGGATCAGAGTACCAAAAAAACAAAAAAAAGTCAGGCTGCTGATTTTTTGCCTTGAAAACGGGCAGTAGATGTAAACAATCTCATTCCTAGTATCACTCAAGCACTCATATTAACACGTAGTATGTCACATTTACAACAGACAATAAAACCAAGGCCAGTTGATCCATAAAATTCTTGACAAGCACCGCCTTTTGATGCCACGTCCGTTGAAGAAGCACCCACCTCAAATTTTACGTATTAAGAAATTAAATAAACATTTTGCTTATCCCTTTTACGTAGAGCTCAGAACATCAAGTTGCATGGGCTGCTTGATGGGAGACAAAAGTTGGGTGAATCTCCCATCTCAATAGCTGACTTTTGGCAGAAGGTCCACAATATCCCTTCAGTGACTATCATTAGTCATCTGAGCTAGTGATCAATGGCTTTGTAAAAGGCTACCCGAGATTCTTTGGAGAATTTTGATTTGTGGAAGATCAAGTGAAGTGTTGAAGAGTGTAACCCTTAGGACATTGACTTTTCAATCCAAGGATGGCCAGTCAATAGGAATCAAGATTAACATGGGAAACTGATGGAAATTTGGATGCTTTTATATAGTATATGACACAACAGGACTGGTTACAAATCTCGGACTCAGTGGTAAGCGAATGAAACACCCCAAAATTAACTAATCCCCTTGATACAGCCATGAATGCACCAGGAAAATAACTCAAACCAAAGAAAATAGCTTCAGGTGCACTAGGTCCATAAGAAGCTTAAATCTCACACAGTGTAGTATGAAATACTAGACAAAGTACTTAGCTAAGATGGTTCTCCCCACCTCAGTGGGCAGTTTTTGAGGAAGAATTTCCACCCTGGTTGGGTGCCTAATCATAAATTGACCGGCCCCTCTTTTATATCTTTATCCATAGTCAAACTTGATATAATTAAAGGGACAAATATCTAAACAAATTAAGACTATAAAAGAACATGCTATCCAAAGCTCACAAGTAAGGAAGGTTTCTAGTACAGGTCTCAAGTTCCAATAACTATATCAGTAAAACTTGTAGGCAGACGCATTGAGTACAATCCATATGGTTAGTCTCAATGGAGGCTTGTAATACAAGTAAAAGAATGCAATTACTTAAGCATGAACTGTACCAAGGCAATATCAATGCTTGTGACACGAAGCAGCTCATCAGGGCAGACAAGATAACCAAATAAAACCCATTCTTGATAAGCAGTTACATTGGCCAGATCTTGAGCTCTCTACACAAGGGAGAATTAGCTTAGTAATAGCCAAAAAAATAGTCAATTTGAAGGACTCAAGTTTGACCAGAAAAATTATACTTACCATGGGATGAGCAGAATTTGTGAGTATGTCTGGATACCGAGGATGATATGGACTTAAAAACCCCTCATTCCTAAGTTTCCTTGTATCTGTTGATAGAAATATAATAGGACCCACAGCCTCTAATACCTGGACAAAAAAATATATCCAGAATGTATTCACAAGTTGGTAAATATAGAGTCATCTTCTAGAAGATGGAAAATAATTTTTAATGATTTCACCAAAAAAAAAAATCATCTTGTTTGTATTACACCTAAGATTGTGTCTCATTGCTCAATCTTGTGTCAATAGAAATAATAAAGTCGGTATCATCAGTTTTAAAAGTGCCTTCCAGCTTATTTGTCTTGTCTCTTAATTTCCTTTTCAGCTTCTCCTATCTCTTTTCTCTTGATAGCACAATTACCTATTGTCAGAATATAACAAGCAACCAAAAAAACAGCAAACAGGGAAGCTGACAAGAAGCTGAATCTCATTGCCCAATGTAAATTAGATCATTCAAAGACAAGAAGAAGGTAGCATAACCATCATCTTCATCATATGAACTTGGCAGTTGATAAATAAAATAAAAATATATGAAAGGATGAGAATAACCTCTCCAATACGAGGGCTCACAAAATTTAAGTCCTCCTGTAAGCCTTTCAATGGTGGATCGTAAGAGTCAATAAATTGAACCAAGCTGTAATGCAGTTAAAGAATATATATTAAAATGTAAGAAATGGATATAATTACATAAAACAATAATAATAATAACCTACCCATGATAAAAATCACAATCCCGCTCATTTCTTGACATTGCATGCAGAAGGTTATAGACCTGAAGCAACATCTTCCTTGGTATCTGCTTGAAAGCATTGGTTTGTCAAAATCCAATTTGAAATTAATCACAGAATTAAAAACCAGGAAAAAAAAAAAAGGTTCCACTGCAAAAAAAAAAAAAAAAGTTTCTCATAATTAAAAGAAATGTAAATTAAGGAGCAATCAAACAGGAAACAACTTGCCTTCTCAGAGAATAGGTTAACCCGCGCGAAGGAACAAAAGAGATCCATAAACGCATGTAGTATAAGAGAGTTCTGATGGGGCTGAAAGAAACTGTGCCTAGTTATTTGAGATATGCAGAAAAATAAATAGAAGTAGTACTGTGCTCATAAGTCACAATCATTTCAAATGCTGTGACCTCAAGCGAAAGAATAGACATTTTACTCCAAATTTTCCCCATGCACGAGTGCTTGGTACAAACTTAACATAGAGAACAATCATCAGTAGAAATAACTAGCATTAAATGTTGATTTCCTCTTGCTTCAACTAATAAGCAAGAATTTAATTACACCAAAGCCCTTACGTTGAAGAAAGATAAATGAGTATGCATGAAAAGATATATACATATAAGCACCTTTTGTATATGATAAAGAACCCGCAGTTTGATCAACAGCCTTTGTATCATCATATATCATGTCCTTCACTTATTTGTAAGACAATGGAATAACCATTCTGAGATTCAAAACATGTGTGGGACTTGAACGGGCAAGTTACATTAAAGATACGGACAATATGGTGAAGAAACTAAATGATACACAAACAATCAAACAAATGGAAGAAGGTATCTAAGAGCTGATAGAAATGTTTGGGATGTTATGAGGAATAATTCAAAGAAAGGAGCAAACACAATCTTGAGTTTTCTCTATTCTTCCTTTTGTTTTCATTTGTTGCATTTTGTGATTAGAAAATTTGTCATTACTATTTTACTACATCTATGCACAATGTATCTGTTAACGATGTAAATCATTTCACTACAATGAACAGCTCCAGTAGAGCTGGTTACAGAATGACAGGCAGCTGGTTAGTTCACTCTGCTCTATTTCGTATCTGATATGGCTTGTGACAAAGATGTTGGACAGAAAACGCATAAATTCCTTATATCATAACTTATACACTTTATGGCATTTCATATGAAGCTTTATATATAAACTGACATCAACCATTGCATCATCAAATAGAAAACACCCTCAAATTGTTAAATATGAGTTAATTTAAAATGCTAAGAAAGAAATAAGATACAGACTCACCAATAACGTGATCACTGTGCTGCTTAGATCCAATATAAGTCGGAGAGCTTGTTCACGAAACACCATTAAGTCCAGAAGTAGCTGATACACATAAGAATCTTTGTCAGGTGACAGCATGAAACATAAAATTAAATTGAAAATTTTAAGGCGTGGATAATATGGCAACCCAAACAATCTACAAGTTCAAGCAGAGAAAAAATTAAACCCACGGAGGGAAAGTATTCTCTCTGGGGAAAAAAAATCAGTAAATAAAAGTAACAAAAGAGCTCACCTGCACCCATTGTTCAAGGCTTTGTAAATGAAGTTCCGCATGATCTTGCATTGAATCCCAAGTTTGCTTATCTATCTGCATTCACTCCTCAGATGATGAAATTCATGATGGCCTAAATTAATTGAAAACAAAATTGAAAATATATTAAACATCATTTCTTACTCGTTCAAGTTGCAATTTGCTGAAGTGTTCTGGAAATTTCTTAGAACACACACATATTCTAGGATGGTTGGGGAATACTCCAGCTTTCCAAAATCCTTCCGAAAATACATGATTGATGGGATCTGGATAATCTAAAATCTGATTTAACCTATACATTTTAGCCATAAGTCCTTCAGCAACTTCAGTGAGTTGGACTACCCACTGCATGTTCAAACCCCTATGGTATTGGGATCCCGCAGTGCTATGAGCCTGCCCATCACTGAAGAAGCTCCTTGAACTGCCAGAAGATAGTGGAGATGCCATTTCCGCACCAAGGTAGTCTGTCCATCTAGATGGGCCCTCTCTTGATCTTACAGCAGTCGGTGACAGTGATGAATCGTGGTTTGATGAGTGGTGTCTTGATTTAGCCATTGACTAATCAATCAGTCTACTAAAATCTCCTGCACGCCAAGCGGCTGAGGAATCAATTTGTGTACAATCACACCAACTGATCTCCAAAGCTTCTCTATAACAACTTTATTATTTTGAAGTCCAAGTTCAATTTGGTTGAAAAAAACCTTCCTAAAACAAACCTCGATTTTTTTACTTTTTGCCCCTTGAGACGCGAATAAATAACTCCTTCCTGCTTTATTATCTTCGAAGTTCACTGGAAACTCCACAATTTTCAATGAAGAATACCGGGAAAAACAAACAATACTTAGCACGAACCAAATTAAAGAGTTCTAGGCAACAATTATCAAGCAAAGCCCTCTGTAAAAGGCAGATAGAACTAAACCCGATTCTATTTTCCTTCCCCTCTCTTCTTTTCCTCTAACAACAGTGAACAGCAGCAGAAAACCCAACAGAACAGAAAATCCAGATTTTGCCAAATTAGAATAAGAAAATCAACAGAAATGAGACAAATGCCAAGCAAAAAAACCGAGCACCACAGCTCCCACCAAATACTGGTGCGCAAAACATAAGACACAGCCTCAATGGAACCAAAAATTCTGCCCCCAATAAAGTAACTTCCCTTTCCCCACAATTTCCCGAAAACTCAGAGTGTAAGATGGAAAAGGAGAGCAAGAGTTAGTGCTCACACTGCCAAAAAGAACTCAGTGTTGAATGAGAGAGCGCGTGGACACTACAAGAGTGCATTACACCATGGACGCAGAGCTTCCCAGATCTGAGAGAGGATGCTCCTTCGACTGGGAGAGAGGGGGTAGTTAGTCTGGAGCAAGTGCAGGAGCTGGATTTTCCTTACAGGAATTTTTTTGCAGACTTTAGTTTTAAAAAATGTACAAACGATTAAAAAAACACAAATCAATAAAATTTACAGATCAGACTCAGCCGTTTTCCCTCTCTCTCTTTCTCTTCCTTTCTTTGTTTGAGGTGGCTATTTTGGGAACGACGGACGCGACGTGCGCGCACTGAGCCTTCTCGCTTTCTTATAGATACGTCCCAGCTAATTTTGTCAGAAATGTTTGTTTCAACTAATTGAAGAATCTTGTTTGGCCCCCAAAAAAAAAAAAAACTAATTGAAGAGTCTTTTTTTCCACACAAAAATTACTTTTATCAGTTTTCACAACGTTAACTGAATTATTAATATTGATATAGCCATTTGTAACGTTTTCGCTTTGTTAATGTCCAATATATGCATGCAGTTTATAAAACTTCCTGTATAAAATATTCCCTCCAATGGCTAACTGGGCAAGTAATCTGTAGAGATAATAAAATTTAGTTAAATTAGTTATCTCTGTTATCATAAAATCTTTTGAACTAATTTGGATAAATTAATAAAACTAGTTAAATAAGCTATTTGTTAAGAATATATGTTGGTTTTTTTTAAAAATATCTTCTTAAATCATTTGCATTAAAACAATTTATTTATATAAAAAAAAATTTCACATGTGCAATCAGTAGAAGCAATTTGAAAAAAAATAAATTAATGTCTTATATTTAGAATTAAATCTAACTCTCAACTAGTTTTGATATTAGGATCTTGAGGTAATATTTGTTAAAAATATGTTAATTTTCTTAAAATATCCTCTTTAATATTTTGTAGTGGAATTAATCCTTCATAGAAACTTATGTAGAGTTTAAAAAATTATAAATTATCGTCAAAATAAACTTTCTAATTAACTCTTACGTTTAATGTCAAAATATATTACTATTGCCAATGAGCATGATGGCTATAAAAGAAAGAGAGAGAAAATAATCACCATGATTTGGTATTTTACAGTACTAGGTGTACATACACATATCCTAGGATTGTATCTTAAACAAATACAAGGAGAGTCTCGTTATTCTTTTGGCGGTTAGATGCAGCAAATGTGTAATACTCCTCCTATCTTAAATATAAGACTCCTTTTATAATGTAAATTATATTATAAAAAAAGTCTTATATTTAAAACCAGAAGTGTAATTACTAATTAATTGGTACAAGAAAGAAAAAGATGGCAAGGTGAAGTGGGTGGTGGGGACCATTATTAATTATGAAATGTTAATAAAAGTAATATAATTATGGAACATTAGCTAATTAATTAATATACTTAGTCTAGTACTCTATAGTGTGATAGGTGGTTCATGTTATTATTTAACTTTTGAAACCCACCCTCAGAGCTGCGTATCTTACAAGCATTTCTCTCACTTGGTGGCCAGCATACTTATTCCTTACATCAAGCCACCATCATTTCATTTCTTCTTCTTCTTTTCATTTTCCTTCTTTTTTTAAATTTCAATCCATAATTATCAATCAAGAAATAATCACTTCCTTTTCCACTGTACTGGATTGTTAACCCAGAAGTTGAAAAAAAGCTATTTGTGTGGAAATCTGGGGGAAAAAAGCATGCACGTGTTTTGAATAACAACAAGGCCTTCCAAGACTCTAGGTTAGGAAAGCAAGACTAAGGATTAGTTTGGTTTATACTACCTCCGGTTCTAATTATAAGAGCTGTTGACTAATTTGAAGAGATTAAAAAAACAAGTTAAATTAGTTATTTGTAATAAATAGGTGTTGTCTTTCTTAAAATATCCTTATTAATCAAGTGTGTTGGTTAGAACTATCATTATTAGAATGACTATCTTAAGAAAAAATACATAAATATTAGAAATAAAATTGATTGAGGTCTTATATTTAGGACTAAAATAAAGATTAAATAAGGTCTTATATTAAGGACCGGAGATAGTACACACATATATACAGTGATGGGTCACTATCTCAACCAAAAGGTAAGGGTGATTATAAAGATACAAATTAAGAACAAAAAAGGGGTTTAGATTCTGAACCACACAGAGATTATCATTATCATAATCTTGCTCGGGTTAGTGCACCTTACCACACACATTAACAACCTCAGTCAGCATTCATTGGTAGTTGTTCAGATTCTTATCTCTATTCTTTATTTAACCTACTACAAACTTTATTAAAATATAATTATATGGTATTATATATAAAAAAATTATAATCAAAGGAATTATTTTAAGGTGAATGAGGAGTAAGATATGAGAATGAGATGGTGATTAGAATTCAAATTTTCATGCAGTCTTTTTATATGAAAAAAAATATATAATCTTAAATCGATGTGTAATGGTTTGAGAGGGTTTGTTTTTTCCTTTCAGCCTTTCAGGTAATGACTAAAACTTAGGAAGAAGTTAGATGAGTTATCTAAATTTGAAGAAAAGTGTTTCTGCAAAACCAAGATTAAAATCTTTTTCTGCTTGTGTCAGAATATGTCAATTTTATAAACTAAGTCAAGGCCTATTGACAGATTCAAGGAGTGTCTGATTCGTTACTCCAAAGCCATAAGCCTTTCATCTCTATTCTTTACTCTTCTCACAACATCTTCACTGTCTGCAATTAATGTCTACTTGTGAGACTGAAATATGAGAAAGTGGTCCTTTAAAGATCTTAATGAAACTGAAAGGACTAGATAAATATAGTAACTTTCAATCCATTATATTGTTCAATGCTGCAACCTGAAAGGACCACAAAAATTTTACCAAAAGAAAAAAAAATGATCCTGTTCGGCTATGGAGAAGTTTGGTAACAAAAGAATGTAGAATAGGAGAAAACAAATGTTTGTTTGGCATATTGTAATTGGAAACAAATTTGTTTTTTCTTAACATCATGTTCATTTTTATTCAATGATTTTATTATATTTTATTTTTAAAATAGGATAATTATTTTCAATCCACATTATTTTCTCTTGATTTCATTCTGTGGATCAAAGAATACCTGAATAACTCTCACAAGCACCAAATCCAAAATCTAAGTTCAATATTTACCATCTGGTAATACACAGTCAATAAACAATCATTTCATAATTTATGGAGAAAACTTAAATATATATTCCCCCAAAAAAAAAATCTCTTGAGGAAAAAGAACAGCACTAAATTGCCGTTGTCAAGTTCTTCAAGCCATTTCACCAGGTATGGGTTTCACAACAATTTAAATAAATTTCTTTTAAGTAGCAGCTACTAAGTTTCCTAATTAAAATTTTATAAAATGTGGGTATCTTTCAACAGATCATCGCATGACCATCTCTCCAAATGAGGGTTGTGTCAAGTGTCATGCTTCTATTGAAGAATCTGATAGCAAACACTTATAGCTTCAGACTCTTCCTTTCATCATGAAGTATGGAAGAATCAGCAACCTCTGGCTCTCCATTATTGCAAAAACCAACCTCATTGCTTCATGAGGATGAAGTATGAACCAAGACAAGGGGCATTCTCAAGATTTGAACTTCGAATCCGGCAAGGGCAATACATATACAAAGAAGACTTTGCTTTGTCTTGTTCTTCTTCAAGGGGTTATCCCAGGGACTAGGGGCACAGGCGGTTTGGGTGTCTTTGTTTTGTCCACCATTACAGCTTGAGTTGTTAGAATCACACCAGCAACTGAAACTGCAATTTGAAGAGCGCATCTTGTGACTCGACAAGGATCTGCTATTCCGGCGTTTAAAAGATCTTCGTATTCACCTGCCATTGCATTATAACCTGTTCGCCAATCACAAGTTCTTGTCTTCTGGACAACAATGTCTCCATCGGCTCCAGCATTAGTAGCAATTGATTTCGCAGGTTCAACAAGTGACTGCAATTTGACATAAGCAACTTGTTACGTAAAACAAAATGCATTTGTCACCAGTTCAAGAGGGAATGCAATTTTTCACAGAATTGATCCTTATCATGGAAGAGATAGAGAAAAAGATGGGTGAAAAGAAAAAAGAAATCACCATGTTTATTTGAAATTAAGCACGAAAGGTGAAATAATTTGCCAACAATAATTTCTGAAAGAACAAATGGTCAAATTAGGTCGGAAATGCAAGAGCCCCATGCCCTAAAGTTTTCCTAGAATCTAGGTAGAGCATCGCTGCAATGTCTTTTCAGCAATGGCAATGTTGTGTTTCTAAGATAATGCATTTCAAAACTGTACTAGATTTCTGCAACCCCCTTTCTTAGATTGAAAAAAGTCATACTTTATATGGAAATCAGTTCAGAAAAATTTTATTGAGTATGTTCATGAAAGAGGAGATTTACATAAGAAAGATAGAATAGAAAGTAAGAAGAGACTAAAGCAGGACCATACCTTAGCAACAATATCAGCACCAATTTGCTCATCAAGATCTTCCATAGAGTTTTTTATTGTTGGTATCAGTTCTGCCAAGTGAACATAAGCAGCTCCACCACCAGGGACAATCCCCTCAGCTATGGCAGCAAATGTTGCATTCTTTGCATCCTCAATTCTAAGTTTTCGATCTTCAAGTTCCACCTCAGTGTGTGCACCTACCTACATGACAAGGCACATCATGATCAAAATCTAAAGGTTTCCAAAGGCAAAGGGCAAGATCATGCTAACAGCATTTGGCAACGGAGATGGTAATATTCAATTTGACTTGTGCCAAATAGTCTCTTATTAGATAAAAGAAGAAAATTTATATTAGAGAAGAGAAAGATAATGCAGACAGCAAACGTCAATAACATTGGATAACTTGGATAGGATTGTGTTTTTGGCTTCAATTTAATGGTTTACTCGGAAGTAGCAGCTTCGTTTTTTAGTTGAGCCACTTTGGCTTGCTATGTTCTTTTCCTCTACTTCTCAAGAGGAATCACACGAGGAATAGTGATCATGGCTAAGAGGAACCAAGAATTCAAATTATCCAGCTAACTGAGTTCACTTGGCCACATTGATCATTCCCTACTTCCAGTTACAAGACGGTGGCAATACATGGAGCATACCCAATTAGGAATATTTAACATCATAAAGTTATGGCAATTAAATAAACCAGGGACAATTAAAGCTATACTAGCAAAATATGGCCTTAGGTCATCATTACACAAGCAATCCCTTGCATCTTTATCACTCTGCATACCTTAATAACAGCTATGCCTCCAGAGAGCTTTGCAGCTCTCTCCGCGAGCTTTCTTGACAGGTATGCATTGTCTGTTTCATTAAGATCCTTCTTAATCTGTAAAACTCTAGCCTGAATTTCTGCTTTCATGATAGGATCAGCAATAATAGTTGTTGTATTACTTGTTACTGTCACTTTCTGTGCAATGCCAAGCTGATCTGATGTTGCACCTTCAAGTGACAGACCCAATTCTCCAGAAAGAAAATCAGCACCTGCGATCTTAGCATGATGTAAGACAAGTCTTGACTTCAGTGCTGATAAAATAAAACTGGTTTTAAAAACATTTTAGTGGCTTGACCAGATTTGCAAGATTTTTCAAAACTGACTGTAGCAATACTTAGCTATTCAGAATCTAAACAAATCAAGAAATGCAAAAGTCAAATCCTGGGACACAAATGCTTCAAAAGATCGCCGTTGGCATTCCAAAAGGAAAAAAGTTATACTACAATTTAGCCTAATTTTAAAATCTTTCCACTAAAACATTTTCCATTAACCTCTTATGTGTTTTTGTTAAGGCAGTTTAACAAAAGAATTTCAAATCAGACTAAAATGCGTCTTCAAAAATGGAGGAAAACCATGTACAGTGTTAAACAAAATTTAGAAGAGGTCTGAATAATTTGCTTAACCAATTATGAGCCCTTCATAACAACTTAAGCTATGGGGAAGAAAAAGATTCTTGGCCATGACAAACCAAGCAAATAATTGCCGTGTAGGTTAAAACCTGCAACAAGAAGTTGGCATAGATTCACATTAATCAAGCAGTATGTTATCAGATGCTCTAGAACCGCACCTGTCATCAGTGCGATATCTTGTAACAAAGCTTTCTTCCCATCTCCAAATCCTGGACATTTGACGACTGCAACTCTTAGTAATCCCTGCAGTTTGTTTACCACCAATGTTTCCAATACTTGTTTTGTGATGTCCTCTGCAATAATCAGAAGTGGGGCACTCAGTTGCATAGCCTTTTCCAGCAATGGAATAATTTCTTTGACAGTTGAAATCCTCTGATCAGTTACCAAGACTTTTGCACGGTCAAACTCCACAATACCCTTCTCCTGGCTTGTAATGAAGCGAGGAGACATGTAACCCTTGTCAAACTGCAAAGAAAGAACTAACAACATCAATTTAAAGCACAAAAACAACAATCATTCAGATCACCACAAAGCTTACTTCTATGCCTTGCCACCTTGATGGGGAGGGGGGGCACATAAGCAAAAAACTTACATGGCATATTCAAAGATTTTACCCAATTCAAGAAAACATTCCTTACGTTTTTGGTCCAAACAAATTTCAACTGTGAGATAGAAGCAAAAGAACAGAAGCTCAAGTTGCTAAATTCTAATGATAATATGCAAAAAGGGACAATAGGATATTATATGCTAAAATAACTTTAAGATCTTCATGGGTGAGGAATGGGAGCTTAGGATATGGCCTAGCATATGGCAGTATAGAGAATATGTTAAGCAAGGAGAGAAGGGCTATGTGAACATGGGAAAGACAGAGGCAGACGATAATATTTGAACCCAAATCCTAAGCAGAATCTTAGAAAGCATATAAACTAGGGTTTCAATACCTTCATCCCTTCTTCAATTATCACAAAAGTTTCAGATGACAGGGATGACTCAATAGAAATCACTCCGTCAGAACCAATCTTCTCTATAGCTTCGGCGATCAAGTTACCAATGTCCTCATCATTTCCTGCAGAAATTGAAGCCACAGCTGCCAAAAAGAAAAAAAAAGAAATTTCAATACTTCATTATGGGGCAATCTTATCACTTTAATCAAACTCAGATGTACCTTTAACATGATCCTTTCCTTCCACAGGCACACTTCTCTCCTTCAAAAACTTAATCAGACTTTTTATAGTCTTTTCCATCCCCTTTTTCAATGAAATGGGGTTAGCGCCAAATGCAACTGCTAATAGTCCAGATTTAATCATAGCTCGAGCCAAAATAATTGCAGTGCTAGTGCCATCTCCAGCCAAATCATTCATTTTACTAGCAACCTACAAGCAAGATAATTAAATGTATAGTTAACATCTCCAGCCAAATCATTCATCAGTATGAACTAAGGTAAACCTAACGATTATGATCAACCTCTTGAATTAGCATGGCACCTGCATTCTCTATTGCGTCCGAAAGCTCTATGGACCGAGCAATTGTAACACCATCATTAATTACTTTCAGATTCCCAGATTCAGAAAGAATCACATTCCGTCCTACATGATTGAGTAAAACTCGTTAAAAATGATTCAGTTGCATGAACACTCATTTAAAAATGAATCAAAATCAGGCAAGAGACCTTATGCCTCTTTTAAGTATTGTGACACCTACTATTATTTGTTTCTGAATAATGGATTCCAGAAAATCTAATCAAGTTAGTCCTTTATGGTAGCTTTCTGCACCACTAAAAATTGAACCAAATTTGCCCAACTCCCACCCCAAAAGAGGGATGGGCTGCATATGCATCCAGCACTGTTGAAACGATATAACTGACGCGAGTAAAACAAAATCACAGCACTTAAATCACAACAAGAGCACCCGGGACTGTTCATAATTGCTATAAAATCTATCAGATAATGAAATTCAAGGATAAAGCAATATTACAAATATTACGAATGCCCCTCTGTAGAACTGTACAAATGAGTACCAACAGCTAGTAAAACATTTTCAACTTCATAAGCCTTTCATTTCTTTCTTCCATTCGTGAAAAAGGAAGAGTACCACGTGAAATCACAAATTTAAAGTAATCAATAAAAATTTCAAAAACAGGAGCACGTCTTAGGTATAAACACACACCTCTGGGTCCTACAGTGAGAGACACAGCGTCGGCAAGCTTATCAATCCCTGATTGTAGAGCCTCTCTGCACTCTTTATCGAAAGATATCTTTTTGGGGCCTGCCCTGACCACAAAGCCCTTAACAATGCATGGTTTTATAGAAACGCCATATGCCCTTTGCTTCCAAAAACAAGGCTGCGACAATATCAAATGATGGATGTCATGATAGACAGACATAAAGGCAGGGCACACCTCACGCAAGAACTAAAAGCAAGCCAGAGAGATACTTACAGCAAAGAAGACCTTCTGAGGGGAAAACAGAGAGGATGTAGAAAATGAGAAAGACATTGTTACAGTTTTTATTGAGTTGATAGAGTTACTTGAGCTTGGATTCTCATGGAAGTCTGACTTTTGTCACACAGGGTAGTGAAGTTTTCTTCCTTCCCTCGTACCCGGTCTGTCAGAACACACTTCCCACTTCCAGCGCAATCTCAAAGCTCCTTCCGCCAGCCGACGACTTTAAAGTTAAAATTAAAATTAAAAAATAAGCAAGCTATAATGTTGATATTCATCTCATACTTTTGCATAGGTTCGGCTTCAATGATCTCCCGCAATATGAATGACAAATAGGATTTAGGATCATCATAGCCCTTATAAGCTCGGTCCATTAGGACTTGGGGGGAGTCTGGCATGTGTTTTTCCCTTTTTTAATATTAAATAAATTTAATTTCTTAAAAATATAACATTAAAATTCTTGGTATGAGTTTGTAGTGTAATTTTATAATGTTAGAGTAATGTTTTTGAAAAATAAAGTTTATTTATTTTTTGTCATTATATTTTTTAATTTTATACATCATGACAAAAATTTAAATTTGAATCGTTAGATTTTAGAATATTTTGCATTGAGTTGTATTTTTATTTATCTTTTAAAGAGATGTAATATGGAATTTTAATATTATAGTTTATATTTTGTGTTTTTTATATGTTGTGTTTGCATTTACTAATTTTGTATTTTAAAAAAGATATTAAAAACAAGAAAGCGCATGCTTATGGGCCTGACTCTGAGCATGGATAATATGGGCTTAGCCCATCAGGATCGGATCAGCTCATTTCCCAACTCTGGAAAATGGATCGCACTAAATAACTTAATACTCCTGTATTAATATAAAATCTAATTAAAGTTAATTTTGATCTTAAATTAATATCTATTTCTCATATTTATCAATTTTCTCTAAATCATCCCTGTGAATACTACCTCAAACATATTAAATAGAAAAGAAAGGAGGATATTAAAATATTTATTGTATTTTAGAGAAAAAAATTATATTTTTTATAATTAACTAATTTACTTAACTTTCTTAATCTAATCAAATTAGTTAAATAGATTTTATATTAAAGATCGGATAAATATATTCTTATGAGTACTTTTGGGGGCAAAATAATTACCCTTCAAACTCTGAAAAAATGTCTCATATTAAAATATAGGATTTTCCAAAGCTCCCCAATATTTGAAAAGCTGATATATAATAAAATATAAACTAGAATCACTTCTTCGAGGGTTTGAATTCTCTCAATCGACGCCCAATATCTCGAGGCATTTCGTCTGCATGAATACTGAATAGCAGCCATTCACGATAAAGTAACCTAAAAACCTGTCCCAAAAAAAAAAAAAAAACTACTAAAAATCGGTATGCCACTTCAGCATTTGGTAATACGTATTTTCTTTTTTAATTGGTGATCAGATTTCCCAAACTGTCAATTGGAATGTTCGGAGAAAAAGTGAAAATTATTATTCCACCGAATTTGAAGCTCTCAAGAAACCAAAAAAAAAAGAGCAAGTAAAAACACATAGGGAAAAGGAGGGGAAAAAGAAGCGATATTGAGGATTCGCAGATTAACACGTTCTACTTTCTTGGATGCGCAGTCCTGAAAGATCCTTAGAAGACTATCATCAATGCTTGGAATCTTCTTCTTCACAGAACTTGGAGTACTGATCTGAATCCATCAGCTTGTTGAGTTCACCATTGTCACTCATTTCAACTTTAATTATCCATCCGTTTTCGTAAGGGCTTGAGTTGACCTTAAAAAACAAAGAAAAGTAAGACCAAGAAAAACACTAGGGGTTGAGAATAAATTCATCGCCATATCTTTCGGAAACAGGCATATTGTGCGATTCACAGTAGTAACACAGAATTGGTTTTCTCTTTCTGTCTGAGAAATTGAGTCAATTCCTCTATAAATTTGAATCAATGGTTTGCAGTAACAAATTCAGATAAGCGAAGAGGATTTCAAACATATTTGAAACTAGAATAAATACCATCACCTCGTCACAAGGACTTTGGAATCTATACACGCTCCTTTAGTTTCAATTTATAAATACTAGAACGTCTTTTGGAATATATACATATATATATATATAGAACCTTCCACTAAAACCTCTTTTAGCTTTAGAGTATTCCACCAGCTTATCTTATTTTAAGCTTCTTTATGCATTAAAATGGCCCTTTGCAGAATTGTCTCGCTGCGTTAAATCCTACTTGGAATTTGAAGGAGAAGAAAATGTGACGCATTAGATATAAACACCCAGCAACTAATTGATTATGTTTTGATTGAAAAAAGAGTGCATGCATTAGGTTCTCATGAGAAAACCCGACAACAAACGTCTTTTTAAAAACCAAAACTTGGTTTTGCTATACTAATTATGTTAGCGAATGGGAAGTTTTTGTATAAAAAGAAACAACTCAGTGCAGCTTGTAAAAAGTTCATTGAAGTGAATGTAATCTGCTTTTAATTAATCATCTAAGAAATAGAAATTCTGTTTTTCAATTAAATATTTAATAAGGTAAAGAGACTAACCAGAGCAGGAGAGCTTTCCAGCTTCTCATTAATTTCGACGACTTTTCCTGAAACAGGAGAATTAACATCACTAGTAGCCTTAACACTTTCAACTGCCCCAAAACTTTGTCCTTGGGTTACAGATGCTCCCACTTCTGGTAGTTCAACATAAACAACATCACCCAAATGATCTTGGGCATGATCAGTTATGCCAACAGTTGCAGAATGTCCATCAACCTTTACCCACTCATGGGAATCAAGATACTTCAAATCTTTCAGAACTGCACGAATAACAAAAGAGATGGTAAGCACAAGAAGCTGATAGGTCTTTCACTAAAGAGAATGATAGACTTTATTCTCTGTCCCCAACATTGTCATTTTTGCTCCCCCTTTCTCTGTGCCTATATGGCTCTTCTTTCAAAAGCTTAGCTTATCAACGTTCTGCCCAGTCAATCCAGAGTAGACATCTCAAGTAGTAAGAGAGATAATATCTCTGCATGTCAATTTAGATTTGATTCCTTTGGAGCGGAGAGTAATATCCTGAATGTAATATAGAAAGAAAAAAACCTTCCCCAAGAAGGGTACTCATGTGATAAACTGCCCTTTTGTTGGAGGGAGGAAGGGATCATAAATTATAAATTAATTAAACAAAAACAGAAGGTATTACAACCCAGCAATTATAGAAGATTTACATGTGATGGGACAACCAGAGTATTCAAAGTAAAAGGAAGAGATCATAGCACCGGAAAGAAATGCATCACCTAAATCAGTAGAAATCATATAAATCCCACCTCCCCGAGATGACAGAAATGAATAAATAAATAAGAGAACATCCAAACTCTTCCTTTCATAAGACCAATGGAAAGCATATTCAATAGAAAGGTAGATTATCTCAATTCTTTAATAGTCCATTATCTGGCAAGGCAGTGTAACCATTGGGCTTCGATGAAATACATTTCATGATAGAATATATTCCATCTAAATATAGATTTTATTGAAATACAAGTTAGCATTTTGTGTTTTGAAAATAGGAAGGAAAAAAAAAGAGAGAAATAATAGACAGGAGGATAAGATAGCCTCCAAACAGAGAAGAAAGCAAATTAGGAAAATAACAAATTATGAACTACAAGAGAAAAAAGTCACAAGGCGCAGATGCTAATTCTGACAGTTTGCCAAGCCTAAAATTAACAGTGATACCTGCATAAATGTAGTATCACAACCAGCCTTTATTTTGGTGTTTTAACATTTAGTTTCTTGTGTCACTATCCTTTTTGTCCTCAACTCGTCACTCTCTTCCCTCTATCACAATCAATACAAGCTATACATAAACAAGACCCACCATGTGCAGCCACAAGCCCACAACCCATTGACTACCGTTTGTACTCATTGTAAATTACAGAATACGCATTTCGGCCAAAAAAAGAAAATAAAGCACTACCAACAACACCGCTAAATTCCGTCTTTAGATTTTTTTTTTTTTTTAATCAAGTACCTCAATAATACTACAGCTTAACACCGGCAGAATAAAATTTTTCGCAAGTTATGGTTTAATGGTAAACTAATAATTAAACCTAAGATTGGAATTGCTAATGCTGGTGAACTTTCTTAGTCCCACCAGCAATTCTCTATTATTGTTCCCCAGTAAGTTCCCAAGATCAGAGAACATTAAAAAACGACAAAACATGACTGAATAAAGTTCGAACAGTTGCTATCGCAGTCAAGAAAGTCCACCTGCGCGTGAATCTGACCCAGATCGCTATTCAGGGATGAAACGCAGCACAAGTGGTGAGTGTCATAAAAAATCACAATGAGAAACGGAGGCAGGAGAACACACCGATCATATAACCTCCCAAAATTTACAGTGATGATCAGAGGGTACGCATCGGTGCGTGCTTATGAATGTTAAATAGCAAGAAGCATAGATCAAGCAGATTTAGTAACACATGGATCAAGATCAATAATCGAAGCATGCACAAATACTTTACAAGTGATCAATGAAAACAAATGAAGATGAAGTGAGGGAGGCAGATGGAAGGAAGAAAAAGGATAAGTTACCAGTAGCGAAGCCTCTGTGACAGACAGAGACTCTGAGGTAGGAAGCAGCTCTTGAAGCCCACTGAAGTCGGGAAGCCATTTCGCTCTGCCAAGTGAAAGTCTGAAACTGTACTCTCGTCACAAGCGCCTTGTCGAAAATTGTAGGGTTGGTGAAAAATAAACCAGTTTTTTCCTTCTTTTTTTTTTTTTTTGGGGGAGTGGTGTTCGGTGAGGGCCAACCTCTGCCTCCTGTTTTTTTTTTTTTGGCTCCCACAGAAAAACTTCAAAACTTGCAAAAAAGTATTATGATATGGATAACAATAATAATTAAAAATTGTAAAAAATATTCAAATTAAAATATATTTTATGAAGGCATTATCATCTTCTAAAAATAATCAGTATACCATGCAAAGCTATAATTTTATTTGCTGAATTTATAAGGATGATAGAGAGCTCGGATTTTGATAGACAAAATATATAGAGAGGGTCTTAGGGTGAGCAAAAATTTGAAGACAATTTTCAATAATTGGGAAAAAAATAAAACGGAATGGGTGAAAGGTGGAGGGTCCATTTTGGGGAACAAAAGGAGAACAAAAGTTGGCGAGTGGGGCCTGCCAGATCATGATGGGCGGACACCCGCGTCTTCGTCCGCTCCAATTTGCCCCCACATTACCCGGTTCACAACCACTTTCAGATTTCAAATGAAGAGTGACCTTTCATTTAATTGGTTTCAGGATGTAATCTTTTTTCTTTTTACTGGAAAAGTGATATTTCATTTAACTGGTTTGAGTGAGTTTTTTGTTTTTTTCATTCTTCACCCAATTAAAAAAATCATATATCTATCGTTAAACTTACAATCCTAAATCTAAGAAAAACTTGAAAGAGGTACCTAGTCCCATCAAACTAGAAAGCTCTAATAGTTTAAACATATAATCCTTCGTTCTTAATATAAGACCTATTTAACTAATTTTATTAGATTAAAGAAATTAGATATGTTAGTTAATTATAAAAAATATGATACATTTTTCCTAAAACATCATAATCATCTTTCTTAATACCTATTCTTCTTCTTCTACTTGATTATAGTTGATGGAGTATCATAGGGGTAAATTAGAGAAAACTGATAAATATGAGAAATGAGTCTTATATTTAAGACTAAAACTAACTCAACAATTAGGTTCTATATTAAGAACTGGAAGACTATTTTTTAATTGGAAGGAGAAACCATCTTACTCTGATTATGTGGTTTTTTGATATTATGTTTTGTAAACAACTTTTTTTTTTTTGCAAGAAAACAACATATCTTATTATAAACTTTATATTCTATGCATTTATAAATAGATAATTATATTGATATGTCATGTTATAGCCTAACTTATATCAAGCACTTGCTGTAAAAACTTTTTTAAATATGAGATTGTAATTTTAAATTTTTTATGAAATATATAATGAATGTGTGAGTTATGTTTAAAAAATAATTACTCTTCTAATCCTAGTAGAGAGATAGACTTTTTTATATGAATATATAATTTTATTTTCATTTATAACTGAGTTAACTTTGTTCTCAAAGATAAGAAGAATTTTATTTCACTTGTATGAAAACATTTTTCCCAAGTGCTTTTTCAGTTTTCCAAAGAAAAAAATTTATATCAAGTTTCTTATATCAATTATGTCAAATTTTCTAATCACACATAGCTATATTTTCTTTTTTATTTCATAGAAATTTATAATTAAGTGCTATTGAATACTAATATCTTAAAAATAGAAAACATAACTATGTATGATTAGAAATTTTGACATAATAAATATAAGTAAATCAATGTGAGTGTTTTTCCCCCTCCAGATTCCCTCTTGTCATTTACATTTTTACCTGATGATTATGATTTTTCCTCAGCTTCATGAGAAATCAAAAAATCGGAGGACTATAAATTCCACCCTCGCCATTCCCTGCTCAACGTGAAGAATAGACCTCATAATATGATGAACTGATCCATTGGAAGCGGTGCACCCCACAATACCTGAACTGGATTTCCTCCAAATTCCAAAAGTAAGATGCAGACAAAAAAAAAAAAAAACGGACAAAAGGGAAAGAAATAAAATCCATGTAGCTATTGAATTGTGGCAAGGCAGCTGCTTAAGAGTTGACTCGTTTATTGCTACCAAGTTCTGCTTCTTACTGGCCAGTTCCTCCATTGGTGTGCTGATCCAGGTACCGACAAACCATATTATCTCCTTCTGCGATCGGCTAAGCTTCTGCCATGTTTTCTGCCTTTTTTCCTGTGGATTTTACTTCATATGTACTTCTAATCTTCGTTGGACAGTTCCGCGTTTGGTTCCCTTCTCATCCTTAGGAAGAAGATGGAGTTTTATTTTATACAGCATGAGAGGGTTAAATTGGTCACTATCTAAATGAAAAATCCTCCAAACTGCAAAAGTAAGGACATTTTGCCTCCGTTGGTTTTCTGGATGACGCTCTCCATTCGCTGGTCTCCTTTTCTCGGTATTGATTAACAGGTGTTTGACATATTTCCTCTGTGAAAAGGATTTTATTTGAAGGGGATAACCGGTCGATCACTAGGCACATGTGGCATTCATATTATTGCATTTTCTTTTTCCTTCTATGATCCATTCAAATATGAGTTTTCTTCCTTTTGAAAGGAAAGATCTCACGTCCTTCACAGGAACGCGCGCGCGCGCGCGCCCCCCTACACACCGAACCTATGTTTGCTTATGCTTTGTATCTGTTTTTCCCATGCAGCTTCTATAATCTCTACTTCTTGTTTTTTAAGTTGTGGGTAAGAGGTAGGCAAATGGAACATCGTGGCGCAGAGGCAGTAATAATTGGGGGCATGGTGTTGGATATTCATGCCACCCCTTCTATGCCTGCAAACCCAAGGACTACCACTCCTGGCAGGGTTAGTTACGTATTCCTCTCGTCAAAGAATTTACTCACTGCTCACTATTGTATGAGCATTACTCTTCCTTTGTTCTTTATTCTCTCCGCGCGATTGTTATTTGTATGTACACAATTTCAAAGGTTTAAATGTGGTCATGAAGATATGCAATCCTCTTAAATGAAAGTGTTCCATTTCTTGTCTATTAGAAAGATACGAACTCATGATTCAGTGGTTATTTTCAAGTCAATTATGCTAATGAAGATGATGGAATATCAGATTTCATAGCTAATCGAGGATTTAGTTTCTCTTATTTTCACTTTGTTCATGATCTCTTTTTCAACCTAATCTAATAGAGAATTTTCAGGTCCGTTATGTCCTGGGAGGCGTAGCAAGGAATGTGGCAGAATGCATGTCAAAGCTAGGAGCAAAGCCATACATGATTAGTGCTATAGGGCTTGACATGGCAGGCATATGTTTTATCATTGAACTTTTCATTTTTCATTGCCACTAAAATCTATAGGATTTACTACATCTACAGGCTCAACTCGAATTGGCCATGAACACAAGTTGTATATTTTTAGACGTGTAAACTAATTTGTTTGTTTGACAAAAAAAAACTTAATTTATTTGAACCTGAAACACACACACGTCCCAGCATTTCATTGAAGGAAAAATAATTTTTCTTTTCTTTTTAATTTTTTAAAACTAGGAAATCTTTTGTTGGAACAGTGGAAGTCTGCTGGACTCTCTATAGAAGGTGAGATCTCTTGTCTCCATGACCATTTATCATATAGATATGTTAATAACCATGTGCATGGTAATACTGTTCCCTTTTTCTCTAGTTTTCCTGTAATCTTCCCTTGGAAGCTGGCCAACTTTCTCTTTTCTTTGGGTTTGTTGGAAAAAATAATTTTAAAAAGCATATTAATGATTTATTATTTTACATGTTGAATTTGAGGTAGGTATTTTGAAGAACAGTAACATTGAGACTCCCGTTGTTTGCAATATATTTGATGCTAATGGTGAAGTGGCAGCGGGTGTTGCTAGTGTGGAAGCTATTGTAAGTTTTTTTTTTTTCCCCCTTCCCACGTCTTATGCTATCAAGTATCTTCCAAACTTGTCAAAACCCGAAGATTTTCCTTAATATGCTTGTAAAATGACAATAGTTATACTAAAAAGAGCAGGAAAAAGAAAGCCTATAAAGTCTACTTGTTACAGGACAAATATTTGACGCCAGACTGGATCTTGCACTTCGAGAGCACCATACGTCCGGCTCCATTGTTGTTCGTTGATGCGAATCTGAATTTTCCTTCTCTACAAGCGTCTAGCAAAAGTACATAACATGATGCTATACCACTAATTCTCTTCTTGTCTGCCTCTCTGGTTTGGTGAATTATAAATGCTGATGCTACTTCATCTCTTTGCATAAATATTGGCATTCCTCAGTAGCAGCGGATTCAGGGTGTCCTGTCTGGTTTGAGCCAGTGTCAGTCACCAAATCCAAAAGAATTACTTCAATTGTCAAGCATGTGAGTGCTAAGCTTTATACAATGTTTATTTTCTCTTCAACATTTCTTGAAATGGTTTGGTCGAAAGAATTTTTGAAGATTCAAGGAGTGTAATAGTCATAAATAATTTTTGTAGTGTCAACAGCCATCGTTTTCATTGTCCAGATTATCATTACGTGATATGCAGTGATTTCGAATCTCGGTAGAATCCACTCAAAATATGTTTGGGACTCTATATTGTGTGGCATACTTGATTAAGTTTATTAGCATAATTACTTTAAAATTTTCAATTATGTCTTATAATAATAATTTGCTTTATCAAATTGCTTCTCTGAGACGTGTAGACATTTTCTATAGGTGACTTATACTTCTCCTAATGAAGATGAACTCATTGCCATGGCAAATGCTTTATTGGGTGCTGATGTGTTTTCTCCTCTTGAAGCCAATCATAACCTGTCAACAGTATCTTTGTTTCATATGCTGAAACCAGCAATCTGGGTTCTGCTAGAGAAAGGCATTAAAGTGGTTGTTTTGACCCTTGGCTCACAAGGGTTGATCTTATGCAGTAAAGGAGGGCCCAAACACATTAAAAGTCCTCTGAATAAAACCACACAAAGTGGGTCTGGTGAAAAGTTATACAAGACCATCATGCAGAAGTGTCCACCAAATTCGTGTTTTGATGTCTCAGAGCCCAATAGAAGCTCTCGTCTTTCTGCTGTTCATTTTCCTTCACTTCCTGCATCAGTAGTGAGGCTTACTGGTGCGGGTGATTGTTTAGTTGGTGGAACACTCGCATCACTTTGTGCGGGATTAGATATTATGCAGAGTATTTCTGTAGGCATTGCGGTTGCTAAAGCTGCTGTTGAGGTTGAGGCTAACGTCCCTTCTGTTATCAGTCTGGCTGCTATAGCACGTAAGGTTTCAAACTATGTATTTTATTTATAACCAAATTCATATGAATGCCTCAAGTAATTCTGTTTTATATATTCATAAATTGTTTTCCTCATGCAGATGATGCCAAAACTGCATACTCTGGCGCCAAAGTTCTCTTCCACCAGTCGATGCTGTAAATTCTGAACGAGGACCTTGTGTTAGTTCAATGGTAATTCGGGAGCTCAGGAACAATGAGGAAGCTTTAAACTAATCAAATCGTGCCTTGAAGCCAGGATATGTCTTGAATGGAGGAGACGAGGAAGAAGAAAGATTCTCTTACAGGGCCCAACCAGAAGAGAGACTTGAAGCCTGCTAGATTGCTATGGCACGGTGGAGAATGGGCATCTGCACGAGAATTTTTGTGAAGAACTTATCATGTCCACCTGCTTCCTTCCCAAGTGAAAGGTTTGGACCATATGAAGAGAACAGGATTTTTGAGCCTTCTGCTGATAGGAATTTGTAAGAATAATGTGACCTTAGACTGGTCAGGTAGAACTATGGTCCATGCAAGACTGAAAAATGGACACCTGAAGTTGGATTTCCATTGTGCTTACGATACAGGAACGTACTGCTTGATTTGCGGCACACCTTGTAATTTTGCTCTTTTCCTTTATTTTACTTTCAGAGTACCAGCACTAACCACAAAAGCACGGGATAGCTAGTCCTTTTCTTTTAAAACGGTAGCTACTGGCTAGTCCTTTTTCTTGATCTCTTTTTTTATAATAAAACATCAAACTTTATTAAAAAGTAAAAAATCACACACATTAAAAAAAGCTAAGGGACGCTTAGATCACAAATGACTAGATAAGTGCAATACCAAGCTGTTCTCCAACAACTGTCACCCTTTTGGGGGCTTTGGCGCTGCTTTCTGGTGCGATATACTACAAAGGTAAAATAATCCGTCTGATATGATTATAACTCGAAATAAGTTGATGAAGGAGGAAAAAAGACCATTGAATAGATCATACCCCCAAAAATACTAATTTATTTTTCTAATGTAAAATGATTAAAAAAAATAATCATTTATAATTTTATTATCAATGAATCTGATAAAATTGTATCAAATTGTTACTTTTTGAAAAAACTTTCACAATTTTTATAAATTAATAATTAATTGTTAGTGATTCCTTTTTATGTATGTTTGTGCATATTATAATTTTATTAAGATATTTGATAATATAAATATAAACTTAATATATTAATAAATCTATGATATATTGTCAAATTATACTATATTTTATTTTTGACTTCGGAATTAAGAAACTACAACACAAAACGCATGATTTCCTTTAATATGTACCTCCATATATATATATATATGTATGTATATATAATTTTCCAGTTTTTAATATATGACCTAATTTGAGAATTGATGTTGATTATATATGTAAGACTTATTTCACATGTTTGTCAATTTTTCTCCAAATTTAATAATATTAATATTCTCTCAACATAATTAAGAAGATGAATAGGGTGATTTAGAAAAAATATATCAATTAACTAATTCAACGAATATATTTAATCTACTCAAATTAGTTAATTACGTATCAAACTGGTGAAGTATTTTGGTACATTATATATATATATATTTGGCAAAATTATCATTTTCTTATGATAGATGGCTTAAGAAATAGAGCACGAGAAACAGGTTAACTTGTCTTTTACGAGCTAGCTTGCCATGTGCTCATATTTTAGCGGGGCAGCGTAAGTTAATCCGTCAAAAAAGGTCAAATTTCTAGACTCAATTATTAGTATACTGTAAAATCATTTTTAAAAAATTAATCTAAACATCCTAAGAGTAAAAGAGGGGCAAAACACTAACTTGACATGTATTAGAATAATGTTGTGATCATGACTAGATTTCTGAAGATTGTGAATCCTATTTTAGAGGAGAAACTGCAAAAGTAAACAAGATCAAGTGAGGAGGAAGACGGAGAGGATGATAGCATATAAGCATGTATTCATGACTAGCGTGGTTGTAATAGATAAACTTGTCTTTGTTTGGCATGCAAACTTGTTTTTGTTTTAAACAGTAAATAAACCTATTTTACGGCCACATGTTAACTTGGCAGTTTTACAAAATAGACTCGTTTTACTTAAAACTTGTTAATTTTGAGTAAGGAGACCGACTAACAACAAGATAGAATCTAACCAAAAAAAAGTTTTTCACAACGTGACAAACCAAGATTTGAATATTTATTGAGAGGTATCTATATTTAATGCACAATATCTTAAGTTAAACTTATTTTCTAACTCCACTGAAGAGAATAAAATGTAAAGGAATCCATTTTAAGTTTTAACTAAGTTTATTTTATACAGAAATTAGAAACTATTAACATTTGTCAGAGAAATGAGAGTTCTTACCATTTAAGCTATTTGTTTTGTATTGACAATTATTTTTGATAAGTCTTCCCGCATATATTTCATTTTTTTAAAAATAAATGATACATTTCTTCACGTTAACATATGATTTCAAAGACGGGTAGCATTTCTCGTAATATATATATATATATATATATATAATACATAATAATTTGTTATAACTTATAAATAGGAAAATCCCACAAATTTTTTTTGAAATCACTAAATCCCACATAAGAAATTTTTACAAAAATGTGTTGTTATTTGCAAAGTGTTGTTATTAAACTTAATTTGAAATTTAGTATTTTTAAATTTTTGTGTGGGATTTTTCCTTTATAAGTTTGTATAAATCATATATTACCAACAAGCAAAGGATTCGTTTCTCATTGTCAAAAAAGGATTCGTTTCCAAACAAATGTATTTAATATAAAATAATAATGATAATAAATAACACATAACTCAAAGTTTAAAAATTATCTTCCCAGAAAAGAGAACAAGAGATTTCTATCGCTAACATCTTATGTTTTGTTAGTAAAAGAATTTTAAATTCAATTGAGCTTTTAAGGGTACATTTGGTATGAGAGAAATTGAAGGAAGTGAAGGGAAAATTTTAGTAAGCTTGATTTAGAAAATTAAAAAAGTGGGGTTAAAAACTTTTAATTAATTCTTATTACACTTTTATATTATATCTTACTTGGCTAAAATTTTAAAACCCTACTTTTTCAATATTCTAATCAAGCTCATAAAAATTTTTCATTGCCTTCCTTTCCCTCCATTTCCTCTGCCCTAAAGGCCTCTTTGGTTAAGTAGAGGGTAGGAAAGGGAGGGAAGGGTGGGATAAGAGAGGGTAGAGATTTTTATTCTACCTTATTTGGTTGATTTCAAAAAAAAAAGATATTTAATAATCTCTTGTTGGTTTAAGAGAGGAAGGAAGGGGAGGAATAGTAATAATCAATTTACTCTTTTACCCTAACATATTAGTTTATATTTTTATTTATATTATATAAATTCATTTGCATGTTATTTCAAATTATATAATTCAATAAATATTTAATCTTATCATACTAATATGTGTATTTAAAAATTAGTAAAGTAATTTTTTATTTTAATAAATAATAATTAATTTAATTAATCAAATTAATAAATTTTATATGCTCCAAAAAAATGAAATTTTTGTTCTTTTTCTATTATTTTCCAACTTTAAATATAATTAATTCATAATATTTTGTAAAAATTAATTCATTTTGTAATAATATAATTTTTTATTGTGATATTTTCTATTTTAAATTAATTTTTATTATAATATATTTTTAATTATTATAATATTTATTTTTTTTTATTTTTTCTTATGATAATATATTTTTATTTAAAATAAACCTTATAATAATATATTTTATAAGTATTAATGAAATATCACAAAAACATGAGAACAAAATGGCCTAATATTTGGTTTCCATAAAAAAAAACAAATTAAGGGAAGCCAAAATGGGGTATGGGAGGGAGTTTCCCCCTTCAAAATTTCTAACCAAATAGGTAGATGAGCTTATTTTTCCTCTCTCCATTCTTCCTCCAACCAAACACACAGTGAGGATATTAGGCATGCTATTGCAATTTAGCATGAGTTGATGGGATGGTTCTAATTTTTCTAGGAAAATAAATAAAGGTATTTATCTCAATGATGGCAAGCCAATGATAATATCAAGTTATGCACAATACACAGAGGAACTTTGGATAGTTAAAGCTGGCCGAAAAAGAATTTTAGATAATTTAGCCTAAAAGTGTGAGAAAAAAGAGAAAATTACAATTAAAGACTAAAAAATTTAAAAAATATAGATAGAGACTCATAACAACTTCACTAATTTTTGACTATAATAACTGTTATGAAGTTGTCAAAACCTAAACCATACTCACAGTAAAATTGTCATAGGT